TTTGCTGTTCTTGTATTGCTGCCATTAAATCTGCTAAGCTGTAGTTTTATTTGCCGCCTCTCGTTTCCATCTTCTTCTTCTTCTTTTTTTTATTTTCTGTCCCACTCTCTGACACCAATTTGTTACGTTTCTGGTCGTTCGTTAATTTTCCGTAAATTCGTTCCGATGAAACTTTAGCGACACAAGTCCTTTCTTAAATAAAACTGGTTTATTCTTTCTGAATATAACTTTGCGATACACTTAATTTCAACAGTCGCGCTATAACAAACGCTATAATTCTCAACATACGTCTCACGTGCTCGACTCAACAATACTTAGTTCGATTACACACATTGTTGCCGTCACTTTGTGACCGTCTTATATATACAAGACTAACCCCAATCTAGTAGTCTCCCGACAATTCAAGAATGTTCGAGAAGGATGTGGCATGATACTAGTCACGTGACCTCGCTGACGCAACAATAGGTATGGAGAATATAGTTTGTTTGAATTTATATGAAATACTATTAATATGAACTCTTCTAATTCTTAATAATCCCTAAGGACACGATAAAGAATGTAGTGTTTAAAGATATAATAAGCCTAATGCTAAGCTTTTTAATCTGTTTTTTACAGAATTTTTGATTTCATTGGAAAATACTTAATCCCAATTCAGTTCTTTTTAAGAAGCGTAATTCTCATTCTTATATCTCTAAGAATTATTTCAACTATTTCTTTAAGCTAGTGATCCACTTTAATAGCAGAATTTGCTTCTAACATCATACATTATGATAATTATTAAAACTATAGTTAAAATACTTAAACACATTATTCCATTTATGTTTTTACAAATGTTTCACTAAATGTTCTAGAGAGTTTAAAACAACACTATATTATCTTTAAGAGTAGATGTAGTAGTGCAAAATTAGAAGAAATAAAGTATTAAAACATTTTATTATGTTATATCTTGGGAGACACTTACTTCTATATGTAATTATATTACTTACTTCTCTGATTATAATTTTTCGATGTAAAAAATTGGGTCAATTTTAGTTTCTAATACTTTTTAACAGATTTAGTTCCATATTTTATCATATTTGTTTGTAATAAACTAATTTCAGTGTGTCCAAGTACTTCTGTGACACCGTTAATCGTTTTTATTTCTTCTTTTTCGTACGTTGTATTTTATGCTTGTGTTCACTGAAGGGGTTGCTGACATGAATACTTCAGTGCAACTCCACTCTGAATTCTTGAAACAAGTATTTTAGCTACCCTACTCTTCTGTATATTAAATACAGAACACCCAATAACTTTGAAAATGAACCATTTCACACTTCGTGCATTTAGCGTCGTCGTACTGCCAAATATTAAGTTATAATATGAACATAGTGTAGTTGTGCTGCCATCTATTAGATAATACTGTAAACACAGGTTGTAGTTCTCCTGTCATCTATTTGGTAATGTAGCTTAGTTCTACTGTCATCTATTAGATAGTTTTATAGACAATGTACTTCTACAATAAACTTATTAGGTAATATTATAGACAGTGTAGTTTTATTACCATCTATTAGGTAATATTATATACAAAGTGTGGATGTATTGCCACCTATCAACAAACATCATGTACTTCTACAGTTATCTATTAGGTATTATTATACACAGTATACTATTACTGCCATCTATCGTCTATACTATTATTCTGCTTGTTTGTATGTACGACCTTTACGCTTTCTGACCGAGAACCTGCTGCATTAGCATGCGAAGTTAATGTTTCCCTAAGAAAAACCACGCATGCGCATTATTCACTCGACGACAAACAGTCTGGCTGCGGCAAAGCTCAGTGATCAAGCTCTACAATTGCTGTATCAAACAAGAAGTAACAATAAAAGGGTAATGTAAATATACTTTACTAACCATCTTGTACAACAGAATATTAAAAACTTATCAAAGTTTTAAAAATGGTTTGACGTTAGGTCGTAGAATAACAATATAAGTTTATTTATCGATAGTATTAAGTACAGTAAAGTTTAGTCCTAACTAAACTAAAGTAAAGAAAAGTACACAGGTTACAGTGTTAATTTATCTCTTTATTGAACTTAGGCCTAACATAAGTTAAAGTTTTATAAATTTCGGCCTATATACAAGTAGATTTATACATTTCATTGTCTACTGTTACAATTCGTTTGTATTGTGCTAGAAATGTTATATTTAAAGAAGTGCTGTTACGATAAAGATACTAATTTGGCCGGAAATGTTTTGCGGGTCTCTGCTAGTTAGCTATTATTATACACAGTATACTACTACTACTACTGCCATCTATTAAGTAATATTATAGATAAAATACTTTTACTGCTATCAATTAGGTAATACTACGGTGTAGTTCTACTACTACTACCTATTACATAATATTACACACGAAGATTGTAACTCGTTAATTAAGGAATCTTCGTGATGCTTAGTGGTTAAATATACAACCTATTTAATGTATTGTGCTTGTTTTATAATAACAGTTTAATAAAACATGAAATAATTAAAATGCTCAGATTTAAGTAATTTCTACATGTTTCTATTGGGCCACCAAGTCATCCTCAGAACAGCAAATTGCAAACTAATTTGATTACAAGGAACCCACTTTTTAGTAACACTTCATTTTCTCGCTGCCATCTTCTAGGTGATGTAAACGCAGTGTGTAGCTGTACTGCCATCTACTAAGTAATATAAGCACAGTGTGTAGTTTTACTGCCATCTACTAAGAAATATAAACACAGTATGTAGTTGTTCTGCCGTCTACTAGGTAATATAAACACAGTATGTAGTTGTACTGCCGTCTACTAGGTAATATAAACACAGTGTAGTTGTACTGCCGTCTACTAGGTAA